TATCAGTGGAGTTTATTTTGGAATAATCACAATTACCACAGTAAAAACTGCGTGACTACTGGCCAAATATTTTGACAGTGGAGAGTTTAAGGTCAATCCACCCTCCGTTGTCTTAGACACTATGTTGGTTTAGGGCGAACTTTTTGTCACATATGCTACAGTTAATAGGGCCTGGGTCTTAATCAATTCCGGGTCGGAATAATAGCGTGAGAATTAAAATCCCAGCCAGTAGCAAGAACATTAGCAGGTAGGTTGATTTTGGCTGCTCGAAGGATAAAAACACATGTTTTCTATATCTTTGTGTTGTCGACTTTGATACTGTTTTTTCTCCGTCTCTCCTGTTTTTCGTCTTCTCTCCTGTTCTTTGTCTTTTTTCCCGAAGTCTCGCTCTCTCTCTCTCTCTCGCGCGCTCGCGACAATATCTCTTCTTTTCTCTCTTTCGTTCTTTACACGAAACCGATGTAGGATGTATAGAACTTGGACACCGGATTGGTGGTGCGCATTTCAGCCGTTTGGAGGCATCTATTCTTTAAACCTTCTAAATTCTCTCCTTGCCGGGAATGAAAAATCACTTTAAAAACGATACCTATTTGCGCTTTAAGAATTATTTTTTTAAGAATAAGTTTCGCAGCCTAAGTTTTATGAACCTTTTTACAAGCAATTATTTGTTGCAAAATTCTAATTACGCTTTTGAATTTAAAAAGACTTGAAAAATACAGAACGTAAGGGGAGTTTTTGTTCTGTTTTTATTTTGTTACTTTGTTTGATGGTTTACTGAATTTTTTTTGTATTAAGCCAGGGTTTTGTCATTTTTTCAATGTTGTCATTCACTTGTCTGGTTTAGTGCATATTTAAGAAGCTGTTTAAGAAGATTTTTGTTTTCCTCTAAGTAGTGTATCTTTGTTATTAATGGAAAGTTATAAACTCCACTGAGCTTCAAGATTGAATTCAATAATATATTTATGAAATCATTTTTTTGCTCAGTTCGTTTAATTTTTGAAAGAAAAATTTATTGTGTTATGTTTTTTTTTCAGTATTTGAGAATTTTAAGCAATTTATAATTGACACTTAAGCGAGGAAAATTTTGCTTTTTTTTAGTTCAGTGCTGAACTTTTAGCTTAGACTGTTGTCTTAATCTTTGAATCATGTATAAGTTCATGACGTGCTTTATGATGTTGGATGTTGATTTCATCTTTTTTTTTAGATCATGAAAACACCCAGGTATACAGTGCTGATTTAAATTAACCGGACAAAACTCGGTAAACTTGAAATTTAAAACGCATTTTTCTCAAATTGGGTTGAGTTTAGGTGAAAACTTATGAAGACAAAACTTGCTTAGATTTTTAGCAGAATTAATATGGTGTAATTTGTTTTGCGAAATTCGTGTCCGAAATTTTACCCCAAAAATGGGTCATTTTGGCTTTTCTTAGCTAATCAAAAATTACGCCAAAACTACCCAGTCGATCACAGACATAATTATATCAAAGTGAGCCCCTTACGTAGCCCAACAAACTTTAAGAAGGGTATAATCTCCAAAATGTTGTATAAGTTATTTTATTTTTGTTTGATAGACAAAAAAGGTCATTTTTACTATATAAAATACCAACTTTTTATTTAAAAACAATTTTTAAACAATATGCAATTTTTTTGGAGAAAACACCCTTCTTAAAGTTTGTTGAGCTACGTAAGGGTAGTTTTGGCGTAATTTTGGCGTCGACTGGGTAGTTTTGGCGTAATTTTTGATTAGCTAAGAAAAGCCAAAATGACCCATTTTTGGGGTAAAATTTCGGACCCGAATTTCGCAAAACAAATTACACCATATTATTTCTGCTAAAAATCTAAGCAAATTTTGTCGTCATAAGTTTTCACCTAAACTCAACCGAATTTGAGAAAAATGCGTTTTAAATTTCAAGTTTAACGCGTTTTGTCCGGTTAATTTAAATCAGCACTGTATTGTTCACACATTTGTTCTATTCCGAAATGGGTTCTCAGTTTCTTATAATTTTTTTTCATTCTGTATCAGAGATGATGTTTCGCCTTTGTGTACTAGTTTAAAATGCTATAGGAAGTTGAACTACCCAGGCACCCCTTATCTCGACTTTATATGACGTGAAAATAGAACTCAAAGAGATTATCGCGGAGATGAAGAGCTTATCGCTCAATTTGTTTGAAAAATTAGTTATTCAAAAATATTATCGCAAAGCTTGAGATACATTTGTTGAGATATCTGTTTGGAACCCCAAGTATTATTTGGAACCCAAAGGCCTTTAAAATAATTCCTACCTAATCTGTAAGTGACAGAGGAAACAAACGTCTTGAAAAGTCATGTGCGATAAACTTCTTGGTTTTGTGACGCGTAACAAAAACATGATAGAATGATGGCGTACAAATCTTGGAAAAGCTCGATTTTGCATTTTAATCCAATTTCGCTCAGCAAACTTTTCAAATGTATATTGGCGTTTTTTTTTTACTTTCAACTGTTTTTTTGTTAATATCCCCATTAGGTCAAATGTTTGTTTTACAGCTACTCGACAAATGAGTTTTTTTGTCGCAATTTAGTTTTATGTTGATAAGAAATGTTTTGTTAACTCAGAATATCTATGTCCGATTCTAGTTCTAGAATTCTACAAAAGGTTGTAAAACTCCTGGAGTAGTACTTATTGTTCCGACTTCCGTAACGAAAGTAACGGAATATTTAGGCTCGGGTAGGTTTTTTTTCTTCAGACAAATTTCGACTTTTTATCTAGCCATTTTTGACGGAGTTTTTTTTTATATCATTCGAAAGCTATTGTTGTCTTGAGCTTCAATTTGAAAATTTATTTCACCTGTATTCATTCAAAAGTTATGCGGGTTTAAAGAATGCCACTTTGGCCAATTGGGACAATTAATGCGCGATATATTTCGCATTATTGACGCGTAAGCGGAGATTTAATCCATCGTAGAGATCGTCCCAAATTAGTTCAAGAAAAATTTTCTGCCCAAATTGATATGTTAATAGGAGCAAAATTTATCACTTTCTACTTAATATGACGTGTGGGGAGATGTTTTTACAAAAAAAAAATTTTTAAAATTTTTATTTTACTACCTCTTTGAAGTTTTCAAGTTATTACTGCTCCAAAGACCTTAAAAGGCAGTCAGAACATTCAGGGCTCCGCCCTGATACGAACAGTCTTGTTAATCTTGCAACGTCAACATTTTCAAGACGATGGTTATTATCTTTTCAAAGTAATTGAAAATTCATATGCTTTTTTAGACAGTTCGCAATTGAATTAGGTTTGTGTAATTTGCGTTGTTGATTTGAACTGAATGTATAATAATCCAAATTATCAATATTTTGAACTGAATGAGTTTTTGCGCGTTGTTTATTGTGTTAGTCTTAGAAATTATTGCTCCGACTTTCGATGCGAAAGTAACGGAATATTTGTGCCCGGGGTGGTTTTTTTCTTCAGACAAATTTCGACTTTTTAACTAGCTATTTTGACAACATTTTTTCAGTCATTCGAAAGGCATTGTTGTCCCAAGCTTAAATTTGAAAAGATTTTGTACTTGTGATCATTTTTCGTAAAATTATGGGGGTTCAAAGGCTGCCATTTTGGCCAATTTGGGATACGATTTTCATAAAAAATTTCAAGTTTTAGAAAACAAATTTCATTTTATTTTTTAAATTTTTTACTGCTCTATAAACCTTAAAAGGTATTCAGAAGATTCAAGGCTTCGCCGTGATACCAGCAGTCTTGTTATCTCTAGAATTCAACATTTATAAGGATTCACAGATTGTCTGATGATTCTATTGATCTAATTCTTGTATCATGGTAGACTTAAACAAATTGGATTCAAAAACAAAAATGGATTTTTTGAGCAAGCTGACCTATTCTGGTGACTCGATTTGTACAATAGTCAATTGACATAAACTTTATTTACTGATATATATTTTTGACAAAAATATATAAGTTTTCATTTCTTCTTGGATATGTAAACATCAACCATAAACAACATCGAAGGATATTAGCTCTAATTTAAAAAACTTACATGCTCCAAAAATATTTCTTCTGTTTTTTTTCTAGTGATATATTTTCATTTTAGCAACGAACAACAAATATGTATCTACTCACCTAAAAAGCACAAATAAGACTATAAATTCTATCGCTTCTAAGAAATATTCCGATCTATTTGATAACATTAGGATTTATGAAGTTTCCATGGTTCAGAATTGCAAAATACTTTAAAGAATAAAATTAAAAGCTCAGATTTTTTCATATATTTCAATAAATCGAACGAGGATAGCTGGTTACTGAGCAAGTAGCACAGAATATTCCAACCATAGTCTTAAAAAACGCAGAAAAGTTTTTCTTTCAAATAAGTGCCGTTTTTTCTGCGTATTGTGATAAAAAAAATCTGAACGAAAAATAATAACTTAGGCATATTTGACACTCATTGTAAAAATAGCCTATTGGAAAACAGTTTTTGTAGAAAATTGATTTAAAAAAAACTGAAGAAAATTGAAAAACAAAACTAAAAAAAATTCAAAAAGATTTTTTTTTATTTTTGAAGATTTTGATTGCAAAATAGCGCTGAAAGTCTCCAAAAACCACTTTTAATCGAGTAAAACTAAATTTAATGCTTAAATTGAGCATAAAATAGCCATTAAATTGTGCATGCTCACCTTATTAGCTCAAAATTAGACCAAAACTCAAAAAATTCAAATCGGTTTCTCTCGTTAGAAAAATTTAGTAAATGTTTTTTTTTTCCAAATCACGACTAAAAAAGCTTCAAATTGATATATATCTAGACCCATTCCGATGATTATTTGTGGTACCTGATTTTGCGTGGAAAAAAACTTAAAACACACCCCCTAATACAAAGTTTCTCCCCATTTTTCAAATGGTCGGAACAAAAATGGATAAAAACTTTTATTGTTTTGATGATTAAAACCATAGTCTGAACTATTTTTTTCTCGTTGAAAATCAAAAATGGTTTAATTAAAATATGAAATCCTTGTTTCAAGTAGATTTGATCATACGAGGCCAAAGTGTGCACTGGATAGGTGCGTGCGTCTTTTAATGATTTGACGAAATTTTGTTAATCGAAATTGTAATTGAGTCAAAACAGAATGTGTCAAAAAGTTAAATCCTCTAGATATCAGAGATATCAGTGACTCTATTCTTCACGGGAACTGTATTAACAATCTTTAGGCTTCGGAGAAGCTGCAACACATGCGTATATTCGTCAGACACTGTTTCCTCTTGGCAGCCCAGGCAATGATGAGTTTCCTCAATTGACTGCTCGTCATGTAAGCTAACACAGCATTGAAGCAGTAGAACGAAATGTGCAGCTCCTAAACAGTTTTTAGAAACCAAAGTCAGAGGGATTTCTCTATGGTTTTGGCTCCAGCTTCTTTTGAATCTATATATTTTGCGTATAGTTTTCAACAAGAATTCAAAGAAGGTTTTACTTAAGAATTTAATGACTTTTCGGACAGTGCAGTGTACTTTCTCAGGTACACGAAAAATCAGGATCTACTTAGCATACGCTCTCCCTTCCAACTATGGTATTTACTAAATAATCTCCACCCATTTAACTAAATACAGTAAATTAGCTCTAAAAATTTAAATTGAGAATTCTAGTGTTGCTGAATTCTGGTAGGTAGAAAATTTGATTAAGTAAATCTACTTAACAATGTCCCTTTTTCTCGAAAGGGGGCTTGATTGTTAATTAGATCCAAAATTCATTACTAATGGTTCGTTTTTCAACATCAAAGTTTTTTCGGCAGAGTAACTTTTATATTTTTCTACAGGCGCATTTGACCCCCATAATCATAGTAAAGCCCACCTTAAAAACATAAGATTTACTTCATCACGATGTTACTACCCTTGCGATAGTGTACCCTACTTTGCCAATATAATTGCGATAATGCACCTTACTTTGCCAATATAATTGCTTAACTACGTTCATATTTAACCATCTTTAATTCTGTCACCAATTATAAAACATAGCCAACGAATAGTTGGAAAAGTGTAAGCGAACAAGGGGAATTTTTTAAAGCGTTTGTAAAAAGATTTAACGCTTTCGAAATTCAAAAAAAAATAATTGATTGCCCTTAAAATTCTTTGAAGAGTGATACTTTTTTGATAAATTTGACCCATTTGAGAAAACTGGATCTACAAGTAAATTTTTTATTTCGCTGGAAATTCAGAAGTTGAAAGTCCATTTTGAAAACTAAAATTCATTCTTGTGTTTCGTGACCTTTTCACTTTTGCTGTTCGATAGTGATATTTGCCTTCCTTTTAACAAAGGAAATGAACTGAACTTAGAAAGGAAAAATCAAAAAAATCAAACTTGCGTGTGAACAATTTTTGAGACTTTTATCTAAAAAAGCAACAAGATCTATATAAGTGACTTCACTACGTTCATTGAGACTTAACAACAACTCTTTGCAAAAAACGAGCTCGTTTGTTTTTTTTTGGGTCGGTTTAGCGTGATCGAGATTCCATTCAATTTTTATAAAATTACCTTATTTATTTTTGGAGAACAAACATTTTAAACACTTTTGGAAACATTTTGTCAAGGAAAAAATCCGCCTCCCCCCTCGAAAAAATACTAGATTCGCCCCTGGGCCTACTGATAAACTATTAGAAGGCTAACCGCATTTTATACCGACGCTATTTTTCGCTGATTTTTTCTGACTGATAACTATGCTGAAAACAAATTGACTTTTTGTATACGCAACTGAATGCCATTGGAAGCCGCTCCAGCGGCCCATTTTAGGCAAATTTTGAGCAAATTCGGTTTGAAAAAAAAAAACGCTCAAACCGTGCAAATGCTGGTTCAAATAAGCTGGTAGATTAGGATTTTACAATAAGTGTAAAAGTAGGCACCGTGAGGAGTGAGCTGGTGGACTTGAGGCTGGTTCCGATTGAGTTGGAATCGTGGAGGATGATCCAGCCGTTCTCGTGGATGTACTTTGGCATGCGGAGGAGGATGAAGGGCATCTGGATCAGGATCAGGTTCACTATTATCCGCATGTACTTCCTTTGCTTCCACTGAAGCAAAACATATATAATTTCCCTCAAATCTGAAGCAGCTCCGGCTCTTTTCCAGTTTCCACCCCCTCGTAAAAATTCAAAATAAAGCTGTTTAAAAAATTGTTCACACGGCATTTTGCATGTAAGAAATGTTGTCAAAATTTGTTCACCTGTTCACGCTGACACGTTTTAATGCAGTTTATAACATGAAAAGTCATTTTGAATAAGTATTCATTTATTAAATTTCCGAAAAAATCAAAGGGGGACTGGAAAAGAGCCGCAGCTCCAATATGACTGGGCAACATTTCATCTTACCGATCGTCAGCAGGAATACCTCATGCGCGAATGACCGAATGCGCGATAATTTTATCAGCCAAGCAGAGCTCAGTATTTAAAACTTTAACAAATCCGCGAAAAATTCAGTCAGTTTGGACAATTTAAAATGAGTTATTTGGTTGAAAATGTTCGCGCATTTGGTCGTTCGCGCATAAGATTAACTCCCCGAGCGACAATTAATAGCTGACGATAGTTCTCATTGAGTGACAATTTGTTCCGCAGATAGTTTTTGATGAGCGACAGTTCGTACCTGGCGACAATTCTTAACGAGAGATGATTCTTTAGCTGGCGACAATTTTTAATGAGTGACAGTTTTTTAACTGACGACAAATTTTTACAAGACTGCTGGTAAGGGTTAAAACTCCGAATTTTAAGACTGCTTTTAAAGATGTCTTAATTAGTTTTCGCTAAAAAAACTCAAAAAAGTTTTGAAAGTGCTTTTCGGGGTGATTTTTTTTCAATCAGACCAATTTTTTCAAAACTCTGTTCCCACGGTGGATCGATCTCATCATCTCCATCGCGTCACCACTGTGTGCTCACCATTATATTAATCTGCCATGTTGACATGCAAACGGCTTGTTTTACTATATCGCACTACAAAATCGTTTAAAATTGAATCGAGGCAGCTAATTGATTTTACTATTAACTCCATACACGACTCAAATTGCATCATTTAATTTTTAATATTTTCAGCCTAAAATTCATAGTTTTGCCAATATTTAACTCACCAAAAACTATCCGAGACCAATTAAAGGGCAATCGCGACATTCACGGCTTTGCCCTGATACGAGCAGTCTTGCTTAAATTATCCGGACAAAACCGACGCTCAAAAGTTGAAATTTAAAACGTATTTTTCTCAATTTGGGTTCATTTTATATGAAGATAGATGATGACAAAACTTGCTTAGAATTTTCGCAGAATTAATCTCCGGCCTAAAATTTTACTTTAAAGCTGGTCAGTTTTTTTAGTCAAATAAAAATTACACCAGAACTACTTTATCATTGCTGACAAGATTGTATCAAAGTAAACGTCTAACATAGCCCAACATTATTTGAGAAGCTTATAAACTCCAAAAAATTGTATTACAGTTTTAAATAAAATAAATGGTGTTTTTGTCTATCGAACAAAAATAAATCGCATAGAGCAAATTTTTGAAGCGTTTACGCTTCTTAAAATTTGTTGGGTTACATAAGAAACTCACTTTGATACAATCTTGTCAGCAATTGATACAGTAGTTTTGGTGTAATTTCTGATTGAATGAACAAAACCAAAAGTGATCGGTTTTGGTGTAAAATTTTGGGCCAAAATTTCGCAAAATAAATTGCACCATATTGATTCTGCTGAAATTTAAAGCCGGTTTTCTCCTCATCTTTTTTCAGGTAAATTCAACCCATTTTAAGAAAAATGTGTTTCAAATTTCTGCGTTTTGTCCGGATAATTTAAATTAGCACTGTACAAATCAAACCTACATAATCTCAAGTAAAATTTTTTGATGGGAAATATTTTTTCCGTTCACAAATTGCGAAGTATCTTTATTTTTCAGACTCTTCAAAACATTACCGTCAAAAATTGATAGTTAACAATTTGACGTTTTTCTTGAGGAGAAACCCAAGATGAGCTGAGATTTTCCATTACTTTCTTCCAAAATTGGATAGTTAAGATTTTTTATCCTGATAAACAATTTTATTACAGATGGAGTCAGTCGGAAAATACAATGAAACGCAACCGCTTTCCAGGTAGACAGTTGATAAATAAAACTGATGAAAACAGCAAGCAGTTGCATAGAGCTGATAAACACTATGAATGTTGAAAAGCACACTGATTACACTATTAGAAGGCTAGAATCAAAACAAAAGAACTTTTCAGATTAATGTACAGTGCAGTAGTTTTTTCTACAATTTTAAGTATGATTCTACGTAACGTATTGCAATTAGAACCGGTAAAAAAAACTTTCGGTTTTTCTGGACATTTTGCTTGATTTGGATTTTTTTGTCCGACAACTGTTCATTTTTAACTAAATCAAACTAAAAAGTGTCGACAACCTAAGCACCAAATTAAAACATTATTTTGTTTGCAACAAAATCTTGTCAAGTTTTAGAGGTGAGCAACCTGCCAATTTGACCAGTTTGGAATAAATAATGTGCAAAAAAAATTTATTTTAATTTGTACCGTAAACAGTAAACAGCAGACTTTTCTGGCCCCCTATTTGAGTTAAAGCGAGATAATTCATCCAATTATTGCATATAAGAAGAACAATAAGATTTTTCCTACAGTTCAATAAATTTCTTTTTTTTTCTCTATTTTTCAGAAAACTACATTAGCTTCAGAACAGGGCTCTTTGAACATTAAATGTATCGCTTTGATATACTTTTTTGTTCTCTGCTTAAAACATTTAGTTTAATAAAGAAAGATACAGGCTGAGAGCTGCTAGTAACAACCATATCTTGCCGTCTTACAAAACTTCGCCGTCGTAGATAAATAGAGCGTGTGGTATCTTTAGTGTTATAAAATATCGAACATCTTCTTGAGTTAGAAACTAGTGTCTGTACTCATAGAGTAATTTCAGATAAGGTACACCGTCTGCTCGTCAAACTATCTTATTTTTGGCCGGATAGATTCGTGCAACTTCTTAGTCTAATACCAATCTTAATCTTACTCTTACATCTCCTAGTCTCAATAGATGTAATATATACTGGTTTATGCTAGTTAGTTTCCAGAAGGAGAACAACTGTTTTCTAAGTTTAATTCAAATTGCTCTGGTGCTGAAACTACAGGTAGTTTCAGCACTTACAAATAAGTGTAAATGTTAGTTATGGAATATGATTGGTTAGCTAAGAATATTTTATAGAATTAGAGAATTATATTTATAAGCAATTGTAAGTTTAAGTTTAGAATTGGTTCCACCAATCCGTGGTTTAGATACTTTTTAGTTTTTATTATGAAGGACGGGTGATGTAGGTTTTTTTGGAAGTTACGAGCATTGGCTTCTCGGGGGAAGAAGAAGTGTGGCTGTTGGTTGTTCGTATTTGTAGATAGGTCTTGTTGATCATGGTAGTCTTGTGTGATTGTGTCAAGATTTCTGATCGATGCAAGGATGTATCGATTTCCTTAGGTTTTTGGAGCGAGACTGCGTGCAGGGTGAAGTTTGACTTTTCCGTAGTGAAGTGCCAAGTGACTAGGATCTGTACGTGTAGTCAACATCGAGATGGCCATTGGTCTGGTTCAATGATTGTCCTTTGCTGCAAATTTGGGTCCATACTTTAAATCATTGGAGGTAGTGACTTTAGGCAGCAAAACAAATAGATTTGCCATTCCGAAGTTGGAATGTGATTGGGTTGTCGTCTCCTTTGCTGCTCGTCTCTTGGGTTTTACGAAATCTATACATACTGCATTTAACGTTTTTATATATAATTTTCTTTGTTAATTTTAATTTTAGTTCTGATTTGTTATTAATAGTTTTCGCAAAAGCGTTTTTATATTAGTTTGGTTATTTTCAAAGAGTTGCTCACACTAGAGCAACTCTTGGCAAAATTAGAGTGTGGGTCACAACGCGTGACGTAGCGCGGTGGGTTAGGCCGGCTATAGAGCATACTCAGGACGTCCCTCTGGTTGATGAGGCCAGGAGTGGGGTATATTCTTGAGGTTTTTTTGTGCTGAGTCTCGTTTTGTGACCAACCTTTTGTTTCGTTTGTATTACTTGTTTTGTTTTGGTTGTGTCCTTTTCTCAAAAACCGAATCTTTTGGTTTGGTTTTGTTTTTGACTTTTTTGTGTTTTATTCGATTGTGGTAAGACTTGAAAGTGATCTTTAAAAGGTTAATTTATCCAGTTTTAATCTGCTTTTAGTCTGGTTTGGGTACCGCGAGCTTTTCTTTCTCAGTGATGCTATTAGCTTGTGATTTTGTGACGTTAGTAAGCTGCGTCGGTTATTGTAGTTTACTATATAACTCCTTCCAACCTGGTTAAAAGAAAGTTTGAAACGTGTGAAAACTGGTTAGAGTTGTTATCAGTGAAAGTTAAAACTTAAAATTCATTATTTAAACAATTATTCGTGGGCGAGCTGTGCGATTGTGGAAAGAGTCTATGGGCGAGTGAATGATTCAAATCTTATAAAAGAAGCGTCTTGTATAAGGTTAGTACTTCAGCACTTGTCTGAATTTATCTGCAATTTTTTATGAATTTACTACGTTGGAATTTCAATTTTACTGCTGTTGGGAAACTTTAATTTATAAATTTACTGTTTGTTAAAAGGAAACTTATTACATTGGGGATTATTCATTAATTTACTGCTATTTGTGAGAAGTTTTACTGTTTTTTTTTTGAATTTTACTGCACTTTGTTAATACGAGTTTAGAAGTTTCAAGAGAGAAGTTTTCAATACTTTATTTGTTTTTGTCTGTTTTAGATGATGGTGTGATGATATCTAAAAAGAAAGTGAAACATTTATCAGGAATGGTTAGTTGTGTTTTGAGTTTGTTAGTGTAAAATAAGTAATTATACTTACTGAATCATCAGCAAAAAATCCATTTGGAAAAAATCGTGAATGACGTTTGATGTTGTTAGAAGTTTAGCAAGTCAGCGGGTGATATATTTAGTCTGCAGTAGTGGCCAAAGCAGCTCAATTGTTTTGATGATCTTGTGTTCTTCACTACTTGGTGAGAACGCATGCGGTGTGTTTTGAATT